CTTTCTCTAAGGGCTGAGGATATGGCTTCCCTGGTATGTGTGAGGTCCTGGGGTTGATGCTCAGCCCCTTGGGAAACAACAAAAACCCTTCTTCCTTTAACTGATAGAAGGTGTGGGTTTGCAGGCAGTTGTTGAAAGGTAGCCAGGAATGTCAACTGAAGTAGTGTAGGTATTAAAGTGAGAAGTACATCCTGTTTGCATTGTAGGAGTGAGAGAGGAAGAACTTTCAGAAAGGGAAAAGGAGTGTGGAGAGAGGACTCCTAATGGCTTTTGGTGGACAGAGTCCAGGGATGTTGCTAAACATCATAAAATGCACAATACAGCCCTGACAGAAAAATCTGTCCCAAAATGTCAGTAGTACCAGTGTCAAGAAACCCTGTTCTAGGGCCGGAGATTTAGCTCAGTGGTTCCGGCGCCTGCCTTGCAAGTGCAAGTTCCCGAGTTTGATCCCTGGTACCAAAAATAAAAATAAATAAAAAAAAAAAAAGAAACCCTGTTCTATGCTATATTAGCTGCGTTTTAAAAATGGAGAAAAAGAGAAGTAATTTAGTCATTTAGCAAGTACAGTAAATGACAGAACTGGGATTTGAACCGAGGTCAGCAAGTTCAGGCTCTTTCCCCATACAGTGTTGCCACTTATAGAAAAAGAGTTTCAAGAAGCTGTAGCCTGAGAAAACATGATTGGATTATGTAATTTTGTAGGAGGTCATTCAAGATTTTTGAGGATTGTTTGATAACCAGTAATAGTTTAGTGCCTGTTACATACAGAAGACAGAAGGCAATTTAAAGTGGGTTGGGAATGAAGTAGAAGCAGTGAATATATAGTACTAAAAAGTCTGATGAAGAAAAGAGGTGAGTATTATTACTGGATAGAGTGCTAAAGTTAAAAAAGTTTTCTTAGCTGGGTGTGGTGGCACGTGCCTGTAATCCCAGAACTTGAGGCTGAGGCCCGAGGATCACCATGAGTTCCAGGCCAGCCTGGGCTACATAGTGAGTTCAGAGCTCACCAGAACTACATAGTGAGACACTGGCTCAAAAAACAAACAAACAGAAAAACCCCAAAAACAAAATAAAAAGTTTTCTTTGAGAGTTGAGTATGTTTGTCATAAAGGGGGGTGGGCACTGAACTGAAAAGAATGTTAATTAGTGGAGCAATATCACAGGAAATGATTCTGCAGATGCATCCAGTCATAATTCTCTACTTATCCTATTCTTCATTGAATCCAACCGGAGCAATTGTCATGTAAGATGAACAAAGAACATTTTGGGGGGAAAGTAATGATTGTAGATTTTTTCCTTAAGTTATTGCATTACCTTTCTCATGGCTGAGACAAAATACTCAACACCCAAAGTTAAAGGGAAAAGGTTTATTTAGCTCACAGTTTATAGAGATTACAGTTCATTGCTGGCTCCAAGGCAAAATGGCACATGGCAGAGGGGCAGCAGGTCATGGCCTCAGAACACAGCAAAGGCAGCAAGAGACAGCATCTTTCCTCCCCTTTTATTCAGACTACTTAGGGCAGGTAACACTCAGGACTAGCCCCACCATGAATCAGTCACACACTCTAGATTCAGCCACCTCCAAAATAGCCTGTGACCACCTGAGGCTTTGGGAGGACATCTAGACACAAACCATAACACTTATCAAAACTATTTGATATTGGGCCAGGGATTTAGCTCAGTGGTTTCACCGCCTGGTGTGCAAGCGCAAGGACCCGAGTTCGATCCCCAGTACCAAAAAAACAAAAACAAAAACAAAAAAACTATATGATATTAATAAGAGAAAACAAAACAGAAACAAGTCAAATGGAACTAATTTGATATTTTTAAGAGATTAATATAGGCAGCTGGGACTAAGCTATTAGTAGAAAATGGACTATTTTTCTTATTTTTTTTGTGTTTTGAGACAAGGTCTCATTATGTAGCTCAGGTTGGCCTCCAGCTTGTGATCCTCCTACCCACGTCTTCTGAGTGCTGGGGTTATGGGCATGCACCACAGCCTGGCCAAAATAGATTTTTAAGAGATGAATCTGAGTACTAGTTCTGTAGTTCGCTGTTATTTGGGGGGGGGGGGGTTGGTACCGGGGATTGAACTCCGGTCCTTGCGCTTGCAGGGCAGGTGGCGGAACCACTGAGCTAAATCCCCGGCCCCATTTCACTGTTATTTTAACCAACTCCCGTCACTCCACCAGCGTTGGATTTCTAAATTGAAGGTACTATACTCATAATCTTTTTCAGGGAGAGCTGAATTGTGGATTGAATCTAGGGCCTTCATACTAAGCTACATCTCAGCCCCTTTTTTTTTTTTTTGGTACCAGGGATTGAACTTGGGTCCTTGCGCTTGCACAGCAGGCGGCGAAACCACTGAGCTAAATCCCTGGCCCTCAGCCCTTTTCTTTTAAATTTTTTGTTTGTTTATTGTTTTTTTCAGACAGAGTCTCGCTATGTAGTTCAGACTGGCCTGGAACTCACTGTAGCCCAGGCTGGCCTAGAACTTCTGGCAGTCTTCCTGCCTAAGGAATGAGAGGGCTTTAGAGAAGTATACCTGGTAGGATGAAGATTCCACACACATGCCAGAAAGCAAATTACTCATGGCTTAAGACACTATGAATACTGAGTTAAGATTGGAGGGAAGGACTGATTGGGAGAGGTAAGCAGGAACCTAGTCTACCCTCTCCCACACTACCCTCCTCCATGTCTACCCGCCCACTCACCCATTATGGGGACTGAACCCAGGGCCTTGCACTAAGCTACCTCCTCTCAGCCCTTTTATTTTGAGACAAGGGTTTACTAAATTGCCCAGGCTGGCTTCGAACCTGGGATCCTCCTGCCTCAGCCTCCTGTGCAGCTGGAATTACAGATGCCATCACCCCCCAGCAGATATCAGATCTTTCTAGGACTTGTTCACTGTGTTGAGGTGAAAAAGAGGTCACACTCTAGATCCAGCCACCTCTGAAAAAGCCCCACCTATGACCACATGAGGCTATGAGGGGACATCTAAACACAAGCCATAACAGCTACATAGTGACTCCTGTCTTAAAATTTACAAAAAAGGGGGGTGCTTATTTTGCATTTAGAGTTGCAGTTAGCTGATTTGAGTTTGGTATTTGATTAAAAGTTTATAAATTGAACAAAAAGAAACAGGGATTTATATTAGCAAGAATGTTGGCTGGGGGTGTGGTTCAGTGGAAGTGCACATATTTAGCATGCATGAGGCCCTGGATTTAAACCCCTACTGCCATGTTGAAGAAAGGTTGACATTTTGGGGGAAAAAAAGAGAAGTCTTTGATTCCTGCTAGGCATGGTGGCATGCGCCTGTACCCAGCACTGGGGAGGCTGAGGCAGTATTGCCATGAGTTCGAGGCCAGCCTGGGCTACATAGTAAAACCTTGTAACAAACAAACAAAATTCCTTCTGTTCCTTCTAATTACTAAGGAAAATAAGTTCAGGTCTCAGAAATTTTAGACATTTAAGCTGATTGATTGATGTATTTAATAGCATACATCCAGCATCATTTGGGAGGTTTGGAGAGGGGTCTCACAGTGTTGCTCAGGCTGATCTTGAATGATTGGGCTCAAGTGATCCTGAATGCTGCCAAGCCCAGGGAATGAAATGGATATTAGCAGAATATGAACCTTGCAGAGAACAAACTAGTGATAAGGAGCCCTAGTAAGGGGAGGTGGGCTCGGCTTGGTGGCACACGCCTGTAATCCCAGAACTTGGGAGGTTGAGGCCAGAGGATTGCCATGAGTTCAAGGCCAGCCTGGACTACATAGTGAGACCCTGCCTTTAAATAAATGAATGCATGGGAGATGGTTGATCATCCGTACTAGGGCAAGGTTTCTGACAGTGAGACTGGAGATACTGCAAATGGGAATGAGAGATTTGGCAGGGGTTTGCATAGATATGTCTGAGGGGCCACTTCTGGATTTGTGGAGAAGGCCTTGAGAGTAATTACCTCTTACAGAGCTGTTTCATGCTCTTTGGTTCACAGGGTACAACAGCCTTATAAGTATCATGCACATTTTCTAGGCAAGAAAACAAAGGCTCAAAGAGGATTACCCAGTGATTCTTAGTTCTGGCTGCCTATTAAAATTATGTGGGAAGTCAAGGATGGTGATCCTTGCTTGTAATCCCAGCTACTCCAGAGGCTGATACAATAGGATTGCACATTTGAGGCCAGCCTGGGCAATTTAGCCAGACCTAGTCTCAAAATAAAAAGTAGATTAGGGGTAGAATGCTTGTCTAGCATGCATGAGGCATCGAGTTTAATGCCCAGTTCTGTAAAAAGAAAAAAAAATGAGGTGGTAGATCTTTTTTAAAACAGCAAGGCCTGACAGGCATAGTGGTGCACACAGGAGGCTGAGGCAGGAGGAACACCATGAGATCGAGGCCAGCCTGGGCTACACAGTGAGTTCAAGGCCAGCCTGAACTACATAGTGAGACCTTGTCTCAAAAAAAAAAAAACTAAGTTGGGCATGGTGGTGCACGCCTGTGATCCCAGCTCTTGGGAAGCTGAGGCAGAAAGATTGCTGCTAGTTTGAGGCCACTCCGAACTACATAGTGAGACCCTGCCTGAAAATCAAAAACCAAAAACCAGGTTCCCCAGTAGCTCTCCACCCCATCAACTTGTTTTGTTTTGCTTTTGCATTGCTGCTGGAGTTTGAATCTCAGGCCTTTTGCATGCTAGGCAAGTGCTCTGCAACTGAGCTATATTCCAGCCCTATATTATAAATGTTTTCTCACCAAGTTACAAAGCTACAAGAAGGCAGAGGCAAAAATCTATTCTTTTACACCCGCTAGTGCCCAGCAGATCTCCCAGTAAGTACCTACTGCAAAATGCAGTTCTGCACAGACCTAAGAAATTGCAAACTTGTGTCCAACCCCTTTTTCAAAGTAGGTATCCACTGCTGCACCTTTGTGAAATTTGCCACCCTATGTACTTACTATCTTTACTGTCGTTTCCACTGTCTCATCTCATCTCTTCTCTTACACCTAAGGTAATTGCTGGCTTCAACCGCCTTCGGCAGGAACAGCGGGGCCTGGCATCCAAAGCAGCTGAGCTGGAGATGGAGTTGAATGAGCACAGGTGAGAAAGTCAGAGTGGCACAAACAGTAGAGCAGGTGGGCGGGCCATTTCATAACAGAGGGGTGCAGTAGAGTGGGAGTGAAATCTGAGGTTTTGCCTTGTCCTATTCCAGCCTAGTGATCGACACGCTGAAGGAGGTAGATGAAACTCGCAAGTGCTTCCGCATGGTTGGAGGTGTGCTGGTGGAGCGGACTGTCAAAGAAGTGCTGCCTGCCTTGGAGAATAACAAGGAGCAGGTGGGTGAGCAAGAATCCTGAGTAGAAATTTTGGGCAACCAAGGAATAATGAAGGAGGGGAGGCCAGGGATTTAGGAAATATGATGGAGAGTCTGGGTAGAAACTCATGTTGAAGATAGTAGCCTGTGCCATTTGCACTATACTAAGTCCAGCTGCTTAGATGAGGAATTGCTTGCCCTACCCTTCTTCATGGGCTCGTTGATGTAGTTGAGTTGGGTAAGGAGTTCGAGCAGTGTGGTCCATGGATACCTACTTCAAAATCACTTGAAGAATTAGCTTATAGTACAACTTCCTCTTGTATTAGTGTATCATACGACTTCCTTGGACCCACTGCCATAGTGCTTTGGGACTGCTATAAGTGACATTTTAAATATAAGCAGCTAAGGTGATTCTTGTGAATATTAAAATTTATAAACAACTGTGTTTGAGAAAGGAACCACTTTTGTGTCTAGGCTAGGCTTAAAAATGTCATCGCTTTTACTTCCCCTTACCTTACATTCCAGATAGGGGAGGAAAGGCCCGAAATCCTTATATAATTCCTGTTGTTTGCCCTGTAGATACAGAAGATCATCGAAACACTGACCCAGCAACTTCAGGCAAAGGGAAAAGAACTCAATGAATTCCGGGAAAAGCACAACATTCGTCTCATGGGGGAAGATGAGAAGCCAGCAGCCAAGGAAAACTCGGAAGGGGCTGGGGCTAAAGCCAGCTCAGCTGGAGTATTGGTCTCCTAGGGACCCAGCCTCTGTATTTTTTTTTTTTTTTGGTACTGGGGATCGAACTATGGACCTTTCGCTTGTGAGGCAGGCGGTGGCACCACTGAGCTAAATCCCCGGCCCCTCTGTACTTTTTTCTACCCTGATCCCCACTTCTGATTTCTCTATTATTGTTATTATTATTATTATTTTCTCTGCTATTGTAATATTTTTTTGTTCTTGATTAAATGTTTTGGTCAGAATGGTTAGCTGTAGCCTGAAACTTTATTCCAATTTAAGGATGGAAATCATTTAAGGGCAAAGGATAGCATATGATTTGTGGCTTTTATTACCATCAGGACAGTGGCTTAACAGTATCAGAAAGGACCCATACTTTGTTCTTTTCCTTGCAAATAAAGATGTTTCTGTTTATTTACTTCCCCCCCTCCAAGAAAAAAGGATTCAAAGACAAATGCTGACTCTCAGGTTGAAATTTAATAAGCCTTGGAAGTGAGGCAGACAGCTCTGGGTGCAGTGCTTTACGGCACTATTCTTTAGATAAAGAGATCCAGGGAGCAAACCTGTGGGCTCGCTGTCCTGCCGTCCTCACCGAAGCCCCCAAGCAGGTAAAGCTGATCATTCCAGAGGCAGGTGCGATGGCCCACACGTTTCAGCCCCCGGTCTGCAGAAGGGAAGTGGAACCACAGAGAAGGAGACTTGCCTGTTGAGTAGGGGCACAGGGTGGTTATTGAGGCAAGCGATATTATCACCCATGGACACAACCAAATGCTTGCTCATTTCTCCTCACTTCGTTTGTGGGTGTCTTCAAATTTTATTCTATATACTCCTTTTTTTCAGGTTTTTAGGGGTTTTTTTTGATAACAGATCAAACTCAGGACCTTGTGCTTTCGAGGCAAGCAATGGAACTGCTGAGCTAAATCCCCGGCTGTATATACTCCTTTAATTCTTATCAATTCTTCCTCCTTCCTGCCATTCAATTACTCCATCATTTTTCTGAAGTCTAGGTTCTGTGTTGTTGTCTCCCCCACCCCGGCCACCTGCCTACCTGCCCCCCTCAACCATTAGTTTGGCTCTCACGGGTGTCATAGATGTAGAGGTCATTGCAGATGGTGTCTCTAGCTCTGGTCAGACTTTCTCCACCAAATAGCACAACAAAGGGCCCCACCACAGAACAGGAGTGATGCCGCAGTCCACGGGGCCCCTGTCGAGCCCCCTTTCCACTGCTTACAAGCCTTGCAAGCTGTTCTGTCAAGTGAGGGGCAACAGGTGGCTGCTCCTTGAGGGAGAAAGAAGGGACTCTGAAGGAATTTGGGCATCACAATTTTAGCCCTTTTCACCCTAAACAAGATAGGAGTAGATAATACCTTAATCTTCCCATGACTCCACTGCCCAGCTACTTCTGGTTCAGCTGAATTGCACCCCCCAAACAGCAAAAGCTGATGTCCTGGGTGGGGCCCAGGAGTTTGGATCAGGGCAGCAGAGTGACCCGAGCGAGAGGATGTGCGGCAGCCTTCTTCCTTGTAGCTGTGGGTATGCAGAAATGTGGGCCTGAATGGGGCTTTCTGGAAAATACGTGCTGTAGTGTTTTTTACCCTACTCCCCTTGCCAAGGATAGAAAGGCCAGGGGCAGACCCCTGGAAGGTAATAATTGGAGATCTCAGCTGTCTTAGACACAGCAGATTCTGGGAAACAAGGTGCCAGCGTGAGCCCGTGCCTAAACTGCCCGAGGGGTTTTCTCTCGCTTTTTGTTCTTCCAGAGTTGGGGAAGAAAGGTTTGAGGTTTTGGGGGAGGGATGCCATACCAGTAGGTGCGGGCGCCAGGGTCCAGCTTTAACGCGTAGATGTTTCCATAGCGTCGCTGAGTGCGGACCCCACCCTCTCGGCCGGCAACCAGCAGCTCCCGGTCTGAGAGCCGAGTGCACGTGTGACTGCTGAGGCCAGCAGGGGGACAGTTGCCAGGGGCCGCTTTCCACTCCTCCCACGCTCCACGCTCCGTGTCTAGCGCGGCCACAGCGGCCAGGCGCCGCGACCCGTCCCAGCCGCCCACGATGCAGAGCCAGCGGCCGTCCACGGGAGCTGCGTCGTGGTGACTGCGCGGGGCACTGCCTTGGGCTCCCAAGCGCACAGCCTGGGCCCCCGCCGGGTCGAAGAGCACCGTGTCACTGCTGGGAGCTGTCGCTCCACCAGCTAGGAGCCCTCCCACCAGATAGAATCGCCCTCCCAGTTCAGTGCTTGAATGAAAGGCCCGAGCCAGAAGCGCATCGCATGCCACTGGCCTCCAGGTCCAGCCCGAGCCCCCAGCCCGACCCCCCGGAGCCGCGGCCGCCGCCATGGGTCCAGGGGCGGGGGTGTGTGGCGCCCCCACTTAGCAGGCCAGATCAGCACCTCCAGACTCTGCCCGTACTCCGCCGTAGCCCAGCAACCACTGCGGTGGCTGCAGCGCGACTGCTGCAAACCGAAGTCGCAAAGGGCCAGTTACCGTGGAGACCAGAGATCGGGTGGCTCCTGGGGGTCTGACAGTGATGTTGCCCTGGCGACCGGAGACGAGCGCGGTCAGTAAGCATCCTGAAAGATCGCTAACCTCAGAAAGTCAGGAAGCAAACAGTTCTTCGAAGAACCCCTGTAGCCGCAGCTGCAAGCTGATTTGGAATTTGGACACTAGAGAGGCAGGTGTTGCTCCATGGCAGGGGCCCCGTCCTCTCAGCTTCAGGATTTCTTACTCGAACTGGCTTCCCAGAGGTGAGGGAGAAAGAAGTCAGGGTGAGGAAGTGAAAGTGGAGTCGGGAGACTTGGGCTGTAGTCCCAACTATTTCCCCTGACTCTCTAGGCCTCCTCAGTGTTCTCATTTATAACATGTGCTGTTGGTTTATCCAGTAGGCCACTAGAGGGTAGCAGAACCCAGTTTGTCAAGGTGCAATCACACACACACACACACACACACACACACACACACACACACGAATGGGAATAGAATATGTGTGCGTGACTGCTGGTGAGCTTCGTTGAATTGGATGGAGGAGGAAAAATACTTGAGGCATGATTGAAGCTTGAAAAACTCAGAACTGCATCTTAGTAAGAGGAATTATTTCATCTTGCCTCATCAGGTTCATACAGCACAAGGAAACTGAGGCACCGTGGTACCTGGAACTCAGGATTAACGACAGGGAGTTTCTCTTGATAAGATCCACAGTAGAAGCTGCCCAGCCTTACAAGCTGGGTGAGGGTGAAATGGGGGAGGAGCGAGAAAAGCGGACTTGCCCCTCCCTGATACCTTCCTTTTGTTCAACAAGGTCCCTTAACTTCGTAACTCTGTCCCTCCAGGACCCAGTGAAGAGTAGTAAAGCCCAGATCTGAGCTAACTCGATTCAGCTGCAGGAGGAAATGCATAGTTCTATTCCTAGCCCAGCTGTGGTGGGTCAGAAATAGGATCTGTGGCCCCCAGGGCTGGGCTATCAGGAATAATGGCTGCTACTTTTGCCTTTGGTTTTTATACCAAAGTTGATATTCCAAGTTGATAAACCAAAGTTTTATACCAAGTTGATGAACTTGCTCCTCATTATGCCTGAGAAATTGAAGTTGTAGAGACGGGCTGCAGTGGGGGTGCACATTTAGAGGGACGACAGCATAGCAGGGCTTTTGGCGCCTGTCCTCAACTCTTGGTTGTCAGAGAACACAGCATGGGGAAGGTGTGGGCAGGAAGGCAAATTAAACTAGAAGGTTACCAGAACCTGTTACCCACCTGTATCTGAAAGCTGAGATTTAACATTGCTTTGAGACTCTCTGCCCACCCAGCTATAGTTTTCCTTATGCCTGACACGCAGGATTCTTGGTTTTCCAAGACCATGGTAAAAATCTCTTCAACAAACAAACTAACTAACTTCTAATATCTTTGGCTGAAATCTGAAAGCCAGTTTTCTCCCTAAGGCTCCTCACTGGTTCACCTCCCAACAGCTGGACCCAGATCTGACACACTCCTAAGATTAGGCAAGGAGCAAAGGGGGCGGGGTCATTTTGCTTCAACCTGATTGGCCTACATGCCCATTTTAGGCTCTTGCTTTTGCCTGTCTTTGGATGTTCTACTAGATTTTGTCTTAGCCACTTTGTCTCTTTGAATTCCCCCTCTTTAATAACTCTCTCTGTATGTGTATGTATCTGTCTCTCTCACTAGAACTTTTTTCTTATTTCTTTTTTTTTTTTTTTTTTTTGGTACTGGGGATCGAACTCGGGTCCTTGCACTTGCAAGGCAGGTGGCTAAACCACTGAGCTAAATCCCCGGCCCTTTTTCTTATTTCTTATTAGAGTTTTTTTTAGATAAAGTCTCACTAAGTAGTTCAGGCTAACCTTGAACTCACTGTATAGCCCAAGCTGGCTCCAACTCCCAGTCATCCTCCTGTCTCAGCCTCCCATGTGCTTGGATTGCAGGTGTGTGCCACCACACCTGAGTTAAAATTTTTTTAAAAATTTGTTGTTGTTGAGACAGGGTCTCACTATGTAGTTTAGGCTGGCCTTGAATTCACTATGTAACTCATACTGGCCTTGAACTCTTGGTGATCCGAGTGCTGGGATTACAGGTGTGTACCACCATGCCTAGTTTCAAAGAAAAATTTTAAAAAGGGCTGGGGATGTAGCTCAGTGGTAGAATGCTCATCTAACATGTGTGAGACTCTGGGTTTAATCCCCAATACTACAAAAAGAAAGAGAGAGAGGGAGAGAGAATGAAAGAAAAATGAAGTAGACCAGCTGTAGTGGTGCATACCTGTAATCCCAGCTCTTGGGGAGGCTGAAGCGGGAGGATTGCCTTGAGTTTGAGTCCAGTCTGGGCTATATAGTGAGTTCAAGGCCAGCCTGGACTACATAGAGAGACCCTGTCTCAAAAAAAAGAAAGAAAGAAAAAAGGAAAGAATAAAAATGGGGGATATGAATCATGTCTTGTGGGAGTGGGGGTGTTGTAGAAGGCACTCAGATGCTCAGAAGGGAGTCAGGCCTTGCTCTATGTGGCTTCCACTCCCTGCTTCTCACATAGACCAAGACTCACCACCTCTCTCCTCAGCTCACAGGCTTTACTTCATTGTCTCTGGGACTAAAAACCAGTCTGGGCAGGATCCAAAGTCTCTGGGTGCAGGGAGCAAGGCCAGAAACTTGTCCTGCTGCAGCAGGGCCTCGGGGTGGGGGCTGGGAGTTGGGACCAAGAATCTGACCCCTGCTTCCCAGGCCCAGGCAGAGGGAAAGCCTGGGACCCTTGCAGCTAGGGTTCCTCTACAGACGCACCATGCCCTGGCCTCTAACTGAGGCAACTGCACCTGAGTGCTCAGCAGTGACAGTGGAAACAGGGCAGAGTTGCAGATCTGGTGACTTCTGGGTCTTATAGAGAGAGGAAAAAGGAAACTAGGGCTTACAAGATGGAGAGAGATATATGTTTGTAATCTATAGAAGAAGAAGTATGCTAAGGACCTTGAAAAGAAAATCCACCCTCTAGTCCCACTTTACACTGTGTCCTCTTAGCTCCTGCCCCTCTCCTCTAAGGTCATCCCACAGGGGCTGGAGCTCAGGCCAGGAAATGGCCATCTTCGTCCTGGAGAGGAGCCATGCCATCAGCATGCAAGCCGGGTGCTTGCAGACTGGAGTGTGAGAGACTCTAGAGCACAGGAGTTGCTTGGGGTGTCTCTGAGGGTGCAGCCTCAATGGCCAGGTTGGGCTCTGGGCGCTGCTTCCACAGGGCCCAACAGATTATCTCTCTGTGGCTAGGTGTGGGGACCACCCAGGTTCTCTCCAGAACCCACCCTCTCACCAGACTCTCAGGACCTTTGTCCTGCCCCCTCCTCACTGCAGCACTTTCCCCTGTGTTGTCACCACTGGAAGACTGAGTTCCATTAGGGTTCCTACTCTTAACCTGTACTAGCCAGCACCTATGCAAGAACCTTCTCTTTTTCTTTTTTTCTTCCCAGTACTAAGATTAAAACCAGAGCCTTCACACTCAGCTACATCCCCAGCCTTTTTTATTTTTTAAAATCTTGAGACAGGGTCTTGCTAAATTGCTAAATTGCCCTGGTTGAGCTTGAACTTGCAACCTCCTGCCTCAGCTTCCTAGAATGCTGGGATTACAAGTGTATGCCACTACACCTGGCTTCCAAGAGCCTTCTAGAAGTGCCAGTCCATCCAGAGATGTGGAATGAAATAATTAAGGTATTTGTCTCTTAGCGTGTGCTTTGCTCCCCACCTTTGTGGTAATGTGTTTACAGAACCTTGGCAAGGGCAAGGAGGTGGGACTCTGCACACAACTGGGCCTATTGAAAAGCAGGCCCAACTGTGCCTTGCCTCATGTGCAACCTTTCGCCCTGGGTGGCTCACTCCAGTTTTAGGGCCCCTGAAGTTGGGGGGATGCTGTGAGGCCATCAGGAAGAGTGGCTGTTGGTAAAGGATGGGACTGGGTATTGGGGAACCAACAGATAAGAACAACACAGCACATGGCAATGTTTAGATGGAAAATCCTGGAAAGCCCGATGCCACCATCCCAATACTGGGCACATTGATGGTGGCCCTGGAGAGGAGCAAAGCTGGCTGTCAGCAGAGGAGAATTGGGGCACCCCTGGGTCCTGCATGGGCTCTCTCCCCACACCTCCAGGGTGGGGGCCGTCCTCGGGAGAAGCAGGAGGTGTGAATTTGATGCTGCTCCCTGCAGCAGCTTCCATCCTGGGATGGGATCAAGTCCTGGTTCAGTAATCACCACATCAATCAGCTCAGCGCCTTTCTGTGCAGACTGTGTGGAACCAGGGCAAGAAGCAGACCAGGAATAGTTTACTCCACTGAGAGACAAAGCTGTCCAGAAATGGACTGCAAGCCAGGCATGGCGGTGCATGTCTGTAATCCCAGCACTTGGGAGACTGAGGCAGGAGGATCATCACAAGTAAGGCCAGCCTGAACTACACAGCGAGACCCTGTCTCCAGAACAAAATGAAAGAAAACAAAAAGGAGGGGGAG